GCACATGAGGATTCACACTGGTGAAAAGCCATTTTCATGTGTGAACTGTGGAAAAAGTTTTAGACATGAACAGCATTTAACTCAGCACATGATGATTCACACTGGTGAAAAGCCGTTTTCATGTGTGAACTGTGGAAAAAGTTTTAGTGAAAAACGGGCATTAACTCAGCACATGATGATTCACACTGGTGAAAAGCCGTTTTCATGTGTGAACTGTGGAAAAAGTTTTAGTCATAAACTTTGTTTAACTCTGCACATGATGATTCACACTGGTGAAAAGCCATTTTCATGTGTGAACTGTGGAAAAAGTTTTAGTCGTAAACAGCATTTAACTCGGCACATGATGATTCACACTGGTGAAAAGCCGTTTTCATGTGTGAACTGTGGAAAAAGTTTTAGACATAAACGGGCATTAACTCAACACATGATGATTCACACTGGTGAAAAGCCGTTTTCATGTGTGAACTGTGGAAAATGTTTTTGTCGAAAACAGCATTTAACTCAACACATGATGATTCACACTGGTGAAAAGCCGTTTTCATGTGTGAACTGTGGAAAAAGTTTTAGACATAAACGGGCATTAACTCAACACATGAGGATTCACACTGGTGAAAAGCCGTTTTCATGTGTGTCCTGTGGAAAAAGTTTTAGTCGTAAACAGCTTTTAACTCGGCACATGAGGATTCACACTGGTGAAAAGTCTTAAAAGTTCACTATAAATGTCATTGTAATAAAAATGTGTTATTTACTGGAGGGTTTACATCTATAAAGTGGTGGAAATTTTTTAATTAAGTTGTTAAATGTGATATTTATTTGCACCAAGGATGTGTGTTTGTAGCAGTAGGAAGCAGGCCGATTTGAGAAGCAAAATGCCTGAAGCCGCAGCTACACTGATAGCTTGACTAGATGAAAAATGCCAGTCAGAAGGAAAATGTTATCACCTTAGCAGGAGAATGGATCAAAGACTAGAAGTCCTGAGAAACTCTTGTTTTGTAGCCCAGAGAAACAAGAAACAAGAGAAAAGTTTTTATAACCTCAAGAAATTGACAGACAGGATCTTCAAGAGCTACGAAAATGTGCTTGGAAGACAACAGCTGCATGGATGCAGGATGACAACATTGTTTGAGCAGAGACTTGTGACTGAAATCTGGTCTCCTTCTATGCAAATGATTTGTAAGCAACGCCTCAATGTAATAAATGTTGAGTTGTATGAGAGCACGTTAGAACTGGCCTGGAGACGGAGATAGCAGACGTCCTGAAGCTGGCTCTCCATTCAATTCTATTGCATTTAAAACTTCAACTGTATCTCTTTCGTCATATTGTGAAATGTTTGATAAATGTTTTGTGTTCAGATCCAACAGTTTCCTTGAGAGATTTTCTTGCTGTTGTTTTGTAATTGTTTTGCTTACAAATATATTCATGCCTTACAATAAGTAATTATCTTGTTTGGATTAAAAACATTTAATCATTCTTATTCAGCGTTATTCATTTATGCATTATAACAAGTAATCGTCTCACAAAGTTTCAATGTTCCAGAATCTTATTGTAGCATTCATATTAATATTATAATATTGTGCTTTTAATGCTTCTTGGGATTTATTTGAACATTGTTCTGCAAAAGCAGTGAAAAGGTCAACTGCCATTCTCAGTGCTCTTGTGGTCCATTGTGACTAATTTCATGCATTAACAGAGTTTGACTGGACATGGACTCCCTTCCAGAACATTCTCACAAGATTGGACTTGGGGAATTGATTTGTATTATTCTATTCTGTATAGACAAAGTGTGAGGGATGGATGATGTTTATCTTAATACACTAATTATCAAAAATACAATGTGCTGTTATGCACTGATGTTACATTTTCTTTGATGATTAGATAAAAAAAATCCATTTAAAAACTTTATGAAATCACTCATTGATTGTTCATGATTTTTTAAAAGTTTGGTTGATTATTATTGTCTTCAGTAATTCTCTGTGTGTCTTTTGTCTTAGTTGTATTTTTGTTTTTTCTGCTCTTTTCTATTACGAGGAAAACATTTCACGTTCTGCCACGAGAAGTGGCACTGAGAAAAATCTGTAGATGTGATGATCGTAGGATCCACAAGGTGGCAGTAATGCAATGACATGAATGCAGTTAGTCATAAAACCCCAAAGAAGAAGAAGACAAAGCAAAAGAGATGAAACGAGGTTATGGCTGTTCATAACAGAATTATTTAAATCTGAAGACAAAGGTATAGTTTGGAGAGGAAGTAAGAAGATTTGGAAAATTAGGTGGGATATAAATAAATGGAAGTCATTTATATACAATTGATGTAGTAATGGTTAGAGGAATAAACAGGAGGGAGGAGATAATTATGAATAGAATAAGAACCAGTCAGTTTTTTTAAATGGAACTCTTTTTAAGATGGGGAAACATCTTACTGGTTTATGTAGTTGGTGTGATTCTATGGAACATGTTTTTATTAGGTATAGAAAATATGTAAATCAAAGATACGAGAATTTGTGACATAGATATGAGGATCCAATAGGTGGCAGTAGTGCAAGAGCAATGGATGCAAACTGCCGTTACAATGTAAAGGAGAAGAAGAAAAAGTAGAAGAAGAAGAAGACAAAGAGGACAGCACATGGTCTGTGTTGTTGAATGTTTGAGTGTTTCTCTAATAAATATCTCCAGTCCAGCTTAAACCAGTGAATCAGCGAGCAGTGAACTGCAGAAACATTGACAGAGTTTAAAGAAATCATCGTCCAGTTGGAGGAAGAGATGGATGATCAGCGCAGACTGCTTGATTTCTCCCGGACTCCCCAGATCATCTTACACCGAATAGGTAGGAAACAGCAGCGTTTGGATGCAGGTTAAGGTCTAAATGTCTGCACCTTTCTGCATGAGGATCATTTTAGTAAACGCTCTTTTCCCGGATAAATGTTTTGTTAGCAGGTAAATGAACGCAGACATCACAATGAGAATGGCTGATTTATGGAGAGAAAATGGAGTTTCTCACAATCTGAGCTTTGTGCTGCGTCAGTGTTTCGTTGTGTAGTGGAAGTAGTGTCAGTAGTCAGTTAAAACGTTGTAGCTCTGGAGGAAGGGACTTTGTAACGGCAGCCCCAAAACAAATACACACATCATGTGCAAATAAAGTTGCCGAAACTGAAGAAGAGTCTGTTTCGTGAGTGCAACACTATTTGTGTGTTTGGTTTCCATCCATCCGTTTTCTAACTCGCTTATCGCGAGAGTTGCTGATGCATCTCCAGCAGTTGCATATTTAGGTTTATATTGTACATATTTCATACTTTAGTTGCACTTTTACAACTGGATTTTCTTTCATTGTACATGTGTAAATCCAAAGTAATTCAAAGTCTTTCTATCTTGTTATTAGAGGATGATCAGGGTCTCTGCTCCAACTCTTTATTTCTAACGGGTCGATTTGTCCAATTTTAGATATTTTTCCATGTAGAGTTTTTTTTGGGGCTTCTGGGAGAAGCTTTTTGCAATATAGCCCACTTTGTTTCAAACTGCTTTTCAGCATTATGGGAGAGGAAGATACAGCGGAAACGCTATAAAACCATCAGAAAAGGTTTGTTTTGGAATGTTGCCATACAAGATGGCGCCCAGCGACGTAAACGTCACACGCAGTGAACAGATAAAAATTAAGAAATGATTTAAGATCAATTTTCTACATCTGGGAAGCAATTTGAACAAATTCGCGAGCTTCACACATTTGAAATTTTAAGTGTCAGGTGTTTTAAACAGACATTTGATGAAGTACATTTGTCGCCTTTCTTGTTGATGCATAAAATATATACATATAGAAAAACTTTCACACATAACATGTATTGCATGCATGAGAAATATTTCTCTCAGCAAACTGACAATGACTGAGAGCTCTGGCTCGGATGAAATTTACAGTTCGGACAACCACCTCCATGACATGGTGCATTTTTAGCGACTTGCAGCTTAATGCTTCCTGATGCAAAATACAATGAAATGTCCAAAACTCCCTCCTTTATTTGCAGCTTGTACTTTCTCTCTGAACTTTGTCACAACACCTGTCTTTTTCCCAATCATTGACGGCGCACCATCAGTAGCCAGGCTTACGGCGCGGGACGGTCCAACAACAGAGCAGAAAATGTCTTCAGATGTCGTAGTGTCGGCCATTTTTATTAATTTTTTCTTCAATGGTAATGGTCCGGCTGGGGGCATTTAGACCCCGGGCCGGGCTAAATCGTTCATCGGGCCGCTTCCTGTCTAACTTAGAAAAGCAAATAAGAAAGGAACAAAACTAAACAACTATTAACCTACAAATAAATTCATGTTTATAACTCAACCACAAGGATTTAAAGTGCACGAAAATTAGATTTAACTATTATTCAAAGTAATAAAAGAAGTAATGTATTGAAATAATACAGTTTACTATTAAATACTAACAATAATCCCTACGACATTTAATTTTGTAATCAATAAAATTATTTTTTTAATCCGTTCATTTGAGAATTTTCCAAATGTCAGCTGGATTTGTCGACTGATGTGTATCTCTGTCTACGTTGTTGAATTTTCAATGTTATTTTGTTCATTTCTGTCTTAAACTGTGAACAATTTCTACTATTTACTTCAGTAAAGTTAACAATTATTCTTTTTATCTGTTTGCTTGTCCAGATTCCCTGAAGTGTAACGTTTATAACCAGGAGAGGAGATCCACTCTGGATGAGTTAGAACCTCTGCAGGTGAAACAAGAACAGGAAGAGCAAGAAGATCATCAGATAAAAGTGGCAGAGAAAGAAGTTTACTGCACTCAGGGTGAAGAACTGATTGCATTAAAACTGGAGACTGATACCTGCATGGTGGTTCCTGTTGATGAGCAAACATACCAAACTGAATCAGAACCAAACAGGAACCAAGACATGTTAAAAAAGCCTGATGAAACTGAGAACCAACATCAGGACAGAAGAAAACCTTTATCAGGTGTCATCTGTAAAAAACAATTGACTGCCAAATATGCTGTCAGTGATCATATCAGAATTCATAAGGGTGAAAAACCGTTTTCATGTGTGAACTGTGGAAAAAGTTTTAGTGAAAAACAGCATTTAACTCGGCACATGAGGATTCACACTGGTGAAAAGCCGTTTTCATGTGGGAACTGTGGAAAAAGTTTCAGTCATAAACAGAGTTTAACTCAGCACATGAGGATTCACACTGGTGAAAAGCCGTTTTCATGTGTGAACTGTGGAAAAGGTTTTAGTCATAAACTTTGTTTATCTCGGCACATGAGGATTCACACTGGTGAAAAGCCGTTTTCATGTGTGAACTGTGGAAAAAGTTTTAGTGGAAAACAGCATTTAACTCGGCACATGATGATTCACACTGGTGAAAAGCCGTTTTCATGTGTGAACTGTGGAAAAAGTTTTAGTCGAAAACAGCATTTAACTCGGCACATGATGATTCACACTGGTGAAAAGCCGTTTTCATGTGTGAACTGTGGAAGAAGTTTTACTGAAAAAAAGGCATTAACTCAACACATGATGATTCACACTGGTGAAAAGCCGTTTTCATGTGTGAACTGTGGAAAAAGCTTTAGTCATAAACTTTGTTTAACTCAGCACATGACGATTCACACTGGTGAAAAGCCGTTTTCATGTGTGAACTGTGGAAAAAGTTTTAGTCGTAAACAGCATTTAACTCAACACATGATGGTTCACACTGGTGAAAAGCCGTTTTCATGTGTGAACTGCGGAAAAAGTTTTAGTAAAAAAAAGGCATTAACTCAGCACATGATGATTCACACTGGCGAAAAGCCGTTTTCATGTGTGGACTGTGGAAAAAGTTTTAGTCAAATACAGGCATTAACTCAGCACATGAGGATTCACACTGGTGAAAAGCCGTTTTCATGTGTGAACTGTGGAAAAAGTTTTAGTCATAAACTGTGTTTAACTCGGCACATGAGGATTCACACTGGTGAAAAGCCGTTTTCATGTGTGAACTGTGGAAAAAGTTTTAGTCATAAACTTTGTTTAACTAGGCACATGAGGATTCACACTGGTGAAAAGCCGTTTTCATGTGTGAACTGTGGAAAAAATTTTAGTGGAAAACAGCATTTAACTCGGCACATGATGATTCACACTGGTGAAAAGCCGTTTTCATGTGTGAACTGTGGAAAAAGTTTTAGTCGAAAACAGCATTTAACTCGGCACATGATGATTCACACTGGTGAAAAGCCGTTTTCATGTGTGAACTGTGGAAGAAGTTTTACTGAAAAAAAGGGATTAACTCAACACATGATGATTCACACTGGTGAAAAGCCGTTTTCATGTGTGAACTGTGGAAAAAGTTTTAGTCATAAACTTTGTTTAACTCGGCACATGATGATTCACACTGGTGAAAAGCCGTTTTCATGTGTGAACTGTGGAAAAAGTTTTAGTCGTAAACAGCATTTAACTCAGCACATGATGATTCACACTGGTGAAAAGCCGTTTTCATGTGTGAACTGTGGAAAAAGTTTTAGTGGAAAAAAGGCATTAACTCAACACATGATGATTCACACTGTGTGAAAAGCCGTTTTCATGTGAGAACTGTGGAAAAAGTTTTAGTCATAAACTTTGTTTAACTCAGCACATGAGGATTCACACTGGTGAAAAGTCTTAAAAGTTCACTATTAATTTCATTGTAATAACATTTTAATTAAGTTGTTAAATGTGATATTTATTTGCACCAAGGATGTGTGTTTGTAGCAGTATGAAGCAGGCCGATTTGAGAAGCTAAATGCCTGAAGCCGCAGCTACACTGATAGCTTGACTAGACGAAAAATGCCAGTCAGAAAGAAAATGTTATCACCTTAGCAGGAGAATGGATCAAAGACTAGAAGTCCTGAGAAACTCTTGTTTTGTAGCCCAGAGAAACAAGAAACAAGAGAAAAGTTTTTATAACCTCAAGAAATTTACAGACAGGATCTTCAAGAGCTACGAAAATGTGCTTGGACGACAACAGCTGCATGGATGCAGGATGACAACATTGTTTGAGCAGAGACTTGTGACTGAAATCTGGTCTCCTTCTATGCAAATGATTTGTAAGCAACGCCTCAATGTAATAAATATTGAGTTGTATGAGAGCACGTTAGAACTGGCCTGGAGACGGAGATAGCAGACATCCTGAAGCTGGCTCTCCATTCAATTCTATTGCATTTAAAACTTCAACTGTATCTCTTTCGTCATATTGTGAAATGTTTGATAAATTTTTCTGTTGTAATCCAACAGTTTCCTGAGATTTCTTACTGTCGTTTTGTATTTTTTGCTTACAAATATATTCATGCCTTACATAAGTAATTATCTTGTTTGGATTAAAAACATTTAATCATTCTTTTTCAGCGGTTTCATTTATGCATTATAACAAGTAATCGTCTCACAAAGTTTCAATGTTCCAGAATCTTATTGTAGCATTCATATTAATATTATAATATTGTGCTTTTAATGCTTCTTGGGATTTATTTGAACATTGTTCTGCAAAAGCAGTGAAAAGGTCAACTGCCATTCTCAGTGCTCTTGTGGTCCATTGTGACTAATTTCATGCATTAACAGAGTTTGACTGGACATGGACTCCCTTCCAGAACATTCTCACAAGATTGGACTTGGGGAATTGATTTGTATTATTCTATTCTGTATAGACAAAGTGTGAGGGATGGATGATGTTTATCTTAATACACTAATTATCAAAAATACAATGTGCTGTTATGCACTGACTTTACATTTTCTTTGATGATTAGATAAAATAATCCATTTTAAAACTTTATGAAATCACTCATTGATTGTTCATGATTTTTTAAAAGTTTGGTTGATTATTATTGTCTTCAATAATTCTCTGTGTGTCTTTTGTCTTAGTTGTATTTTTTGTTTTTCTGCTCTTTTCTATTACGAGGAAAACATTTCACGTTCTGCCACGAGAAGTGGCACTGAGAAAAATCTGTAGTTGTGATGATCGTAGGATCCACAAGGTGGCAGTAATGCAATGACATGAATGCAGTTAGTCATAAAACCCCAAAGAAGAAGAAGACAAAGAGCAAAAGAGATGAAATGAGGTTATGGCTGTTCATAACAGAATTATTTAAATCTGAAGACAAAGGTATAGTTTGGAGAGGAAGCAAGAAGATTTGGAAAATTAGGTGGGATATAAATAAATGGAAGGCATTTATATACAATTGATGTAGTAATGGTTAGAGGAATAAACAAGGGAGGAGATAATTATGAATAGAATAAGAACCAGTCAGTTTTTTTAAATGGAACTCTTTTTAAGATGGGGAAACATCTTACTGGTTTTGAAGTTGGTGTGATTCTATGGAACATGTTTTTATTAGGTATAGAAAATATGTAAATCAAAGATACGAGAATTTGAGACACAGATATGAGGATCCAATAGGTGGCAGTAGTACAAGAGCAATGGATGAAAACTGCCGTTACAATGTAAAGGAGAAGAAGAAGAAAAAGTAGAAGAAGAAGAAGAAGAAGAAGAAGAAGAAGAAGAAGAAGAAGAAGAAGAAGAAGAAGAAGAAGAAAGAAGAAGAAGACAAAGAGGACAGCACATGGTCTGTTTTGTTGAATGTTTGAGTGTTTCTCGAATAAATATCTCCAGTCCAGCTTAAACCAGTTAATCAGCGAGCAGTGAACTGCAGAAACATTGACAGAGTTTAAAGAAATCATCGTCCAGTCGGAGGAAGAGATGGATGATCAGCGCAGACTGCTTGATTTCTCCCGGACTCCCCAGATCATCTTACACCGAATAGGTAGGAAACAGCAGCGTTTGGATGCAGGTTAAGGTCTAAATGTCTAGTGTTACTTCACTATTGTATCCCACTTTATGTTGGATAATTACATAAAATTCTTATGAAATATATTTTCAGATGTGTTTATGTGATAAAATTCAGTTCAAGGGTTAATACTTTTGAAGCCACGGGAGAATCAATGCAGTGAAGATGTGGCGCACCTAAAACTGCCACCCCATTATTTTATTTTGGTTGTATTAATATTTATTAAATAATTTTAAAATATTTTAATGTATGACTTATTCGATTTATTCCAAAAATGAACAAGTTATATTTTGTTTGTTTCGGAGCAGCAGTGGCGAAGCGGAACTTTTGTTTGGGGGACGTTGCTCCCGGGTTGGTTTTAAAGTGGAGTTCCGGTTTTTTTTTTTGTTTTGTTTTGTTTGGGTGACTTCTCTCTTAAATGATGGAAGTTTTTTATTTACTTCAATGAAGTGAATTCCTAATTTTCTCTGTTTTCTTCTCCAGATCACCTACAACATGACGTTTATGAGGATGAGCTAAGTCAGCAGGAGAGGAGATCCACTCTGGACCAGGTGGAGTTAGAACCTCTGCAGGTGAAACAAGAACAGGAAGAGCCAGAAAATCATCAGATAAAAGGAGAACCGAAGGATCTAGAACACCTGCAGATAAAAGTGGAAGAGAAAGAAGTTTACTACATTCAGGGTGAAGAGCTGATTCAATTAAAAGAGACTGATACCTGCATGGTGGTTCCTGTTGATGAGCAAACATACCAAACTGAATCAGAACCAAACAGGAACCAAGACATGTTAAAAAAGCCTGATGAAACTGAGAACCAACATCAGGACAGAAGAAAACCTTTCTCATGTATCATTTGTAAAAAGCGTTTTGCCTTCAGATCTGCTTTTGAGGCTCACATGAAAACTCATACTGGTAAAAAGCCATTTTTATGTCTGACTTGTGGAAAACGTTTTTGTCAAAAAGAGGTTTTAACTCGACACATGACGATTCACACAGGAAAATGCCGTTTTTGTGTGTGATCTGTGGTAAATATTTTGTCAAAAAAGGCTTTTAACTGGTCACATGAGGTGTCATACAGATGAAAAGTCTTTCATGTGTGTGATCTGCGAAAAGCAATTTTCTTTCAAATCTGCTTTCGATGCTCACAAGAGAACTCATAGGAAGGAAAAGCCTTTTTCATGTGCTACCTGTGGAAAGTGTTTTGCTTTCAAATCTGCTTTTGATGCTCATAGAACTCACACTGTGGAGAACCCCCTTTTAATGCGTCACTTGTGGGAAATGTTTCAGTCAAAAACATGTTCTACTTAATCATATTGTAATTCACACAAATACGAGGCCTTTTTGGTGTCTTATTTGTGGAAAAGGTTTGAGTAAAAAATTTTATTTAACTGTCCACATGAGAAATCACTCGGGTAGTTATTAATTTAGAGCGCAAAAAAAAAAGAAATTCTAATAAAAAAGCCTAATTTGTCATTTTATTCCTGACCATAACATGGTTGTCATGGGTGACATGAATGCAGACATCTCAGATAAAAACTCAGTTTGCTAAACACCTGATTCATTTTTTTTTTAACAAATTCTAATCTAGTATTGTCAAGTAAAGAGCGTCTGCCAGCTGCTAGCTACATTTATGTAAATGAAGCCTGGCATACTGTGTCTTGGTTGGACCATTGTATGACTACAGCAGATGCTCATCTTGCTATGCTATACCTAAATATCTTATGCAATATGTCCACTGTTGACCACATCCCCTTCGAGGTGTCAACTAAATGTGAACAGTAATCAAATAGCTCATTACTATGCCCAAACTGATCAATTGTTATGTACCATTAAAATACCAAGAGAGGCAGTTACTTGTTCAGACGGTAACTGCTCTATTATTGGACACAGAGCCAATATAACTGGATTATATTCTAATATAATTGAAGCTACTGGGAGCTGGCCTGCCTTATGATAAAAGTAATATAAAGATTCAAAACAGACCAGGCTGCAACACCTATGTGTCTAAATACCACAGTGAAGCTACTACTTCTTGGGCTCTAGCAGGTAAACCTAGGCAGGGCCCTTTATTTGAACATAAAAAGCGGTCTAATGCAAAATACAAATATGCACTATGGTTCATTATCCAGAATAAGAAAACCATGAGGGCTGACTGCGTGGCAAAAAAGCTTATAGGTAAGGATACAAAAGCCTTTTGGAAAGAGGTTAAAACCATCAACAACAGTAAATCCTCTCTCCCTTGCACTGTCAATGGCGCTTCTGGGACGAATATGATTGTTGATTTTTGGCAACGTCACTACAGAAAATTATTTTCCTGTGTATACAGTGAACCCTTTCAAGTTGACAAGGTTAGTACTGTAGAAATGATCAAAACACACGAGGTCTATCAAGCAATTAAGGAACTGTCTGTAAATAAATCTGAAGGAATGGAGTTCAAGGGTCGCCCCTCTTCTTGCCTTGTGTTTCACTGATTTTATTATTCCTGTTTTTATTCCTGATAGCTTGATGAATGTACTTCTACTTCCGGTGATTTAAAAAAAAAAGCTGGTAAAATAGGCAGCTCTGATAACTATAACCTAGTACACACTCTGAAGTCTTTGAACTTATTCTTTTGCCAAAATTTGCAGATTGTTATGTCTGTAGACAATCAATTTGGGTTCAAGTCCAACCTGATACATGAGAATTACTGGATAATTATAACAGTAAAAACTCTACAGTTTTTCTGTGTTTTTAGACGCCACTAAGGCTTTGATCGTGTAAATCAGAAAAAACTAATTTTAAAATTGTGCAACGCTGTTGTGGGCAAATATATAGTAAGATGTCTGTCCTATTGGTGTGCTAATCAAACTATGCAGGTCAAATGGGACAAGTGTATGTCTGCATCCTTTCGTCTGAGATAAGGAAGCATTTTATTTCCTATGTTGTTTAATTTTCATGTGAATGATCTCTCTAATCTCCTGAACCTGTGTAGAACTGGCTGCATGGATGGTGAAACTATTATTAATCATTTAATGTATGCTGATGACCGAGACGTTTTTAGTCCCAGTTCAGCTGGTCTTCAGAAACTGCATCATGTTGGTAACCTACATGATAAATTCAATCCATCAAAAAGTATCTTGATCTGTTGCACTAAGGAGGAAAAAAATAGGGCATTTCCAAATTTCAAGCTGTCTGGGACTCTATTGAATTTCTCTAATGAAGTAAAATATCTTGGTCATGTGTCGACAGACTGTCTGTGATTTACCGTCAGGTCCGAATGTCATCTGCTCAGGCAAATATCCTTGTTTAGATCATATTGTACATCACTGTATACTGCACATTTGTGGTGCAACGTTCAAAGAGCCAGTCTTCAAAGATTGAAGGTGGCTGACAATGACTTTTGTTAAATAAGCCCAGATGGACCAGTGCCAGTGAACTGTTTGTATCCGCTCGCGTCAGCATTTTGATGGCTGTTTAAGAAAGCTTATGTTTAATTTTATTTGTCATATAAACGAGTCTAATAATAGCATTATCCTACTGTTGATGAAATATATTGCAGTAAAATATATTGCAGTAAAATACTCATCTGTACTCTGGAGACATTGGTATGACTGCCTCCTGAAACGCTAGTAGCCGTTATTTTATGTATTTTTTCTACTTTTATCAATTTGTTTTTTCTTCTTCTTTTTTTTATGTAATTTGGACTTTGAGTCTGTAATAAAATCTATCTAAATCTATCTATAGTCTTCAACTTATTGAGTAAAATTTGCTAAGTGGCTTGACTTAGATAGGTTGGCTAAGGAGGCTATTAAACAAGAAGTTATTGATATGCCAGTAAAATGATTTAAATCTGAAGACAAAGGTATAGTTTGGAGAGGAAGCAAGAAGATTTGGAAAATTACGTGGGATAATGAAATAAATGGAAGGCATTTATATACAATTGATGTAGTAATGGTTAGAGGAATAAACAGGAGGGAGGAGATAATTATGAATAGAATAAGAACCAGTCAGTTTTTTTTAAATGGAACTCTTTTTAAGATGGGGAAACATCTTACTGGTTTATGTAGTTGGTGTGATTTTATGGAACATGTTTTTATTAGTTGTAGAAAATATGTAAATCAAAGATATGAGAATTTGAGACATAGATATGAGGATCCAATAGGTGGCAGTAGTACAAGAGCAATGGATGCAAACTGCCGTTACAATGTAAAGGAGATGAAGAAGAAAAAGGAGAAGAAGAAGAAGAAGAAGTAGAAGAAGACAAAGAGGACAGCACGTGGTCTGTTTTGTTGAATGTTTGAGTGTTTCTCTAATAAATATCTCCAGTCCAGCTTAAACCAGTTAATTAGCGAGCAGTGAACTGCAGAAACATTGACAGAGTTTAAAGAAATCATCGTCCAGTCGGAGGAAGAGATGGATGATCAGCGCAGACTGCTTGATTTCTCCCGGACTCCCCAGATCATCTTACACCGAATAGGTAGGAAACAGCAGCGTTTGGATGCAGGTTAAGGTCTAAATGTCTGCACCTTTCTGCATGAGGATCATTTTAGTAAACGCTCTTTTCCCGGATAAATGTTTTGTTAGCAGGTAAATGAACGCAGACATCACAATGAGAATGGCTGATTTATGGAGAGAAAATGGAGTTTCTCACAATCTGAGCTTTGTGCTGCGTCAGTGTTTCGTTGTGTAGTGGAAGTAGTGTCAGTAGTCAGTTAAAACGTTGTAGCTCTGGAAGAAGGGACTTTGTAACGGCAGCCCCAAAACAAATACACACATCATGTGCAAATAAAGTTGCCGAAAGTGAAGAAGAGTCTGTTTCGTGAGTGCAACACTATTTGTGTGTTTGGTTTCCATCCATCCGTCTTCTAACTCGCTTATCGCGAGAGTTGCTGATGCATCTCCAGCAGTTGCATATTTAGGTTTATATTGTACATATTTCATACTTTAGTTGCACTTTTACAACTGGATTTTCTTTCATTGTACATGTGTAAATCCAAATGAATTCAAAGTCTTTCTATCTTGTTATTAGAGGATGATCAGGGTCTCTGCTCCAACTCTTTATTTCTAACGGGTCGATTTGTCTAATTTAGATATTTTTCCATGTAGCGTTTTTTTGGGCTTCTGGGAGAAGCTTTTCACAATATAGCCCACTTTGTTTCAAACTGCTTTTCAGCATTATGGAAGAGGAGGATACAGCGGAAACGCGATAAAACCATCAGAAAATGTTTGTATGTTGCCATACAAGATGGCGCCCAGCGAAGTAAACGTCACACACAGTGACGTCACTTCCAAGCCTCCGGACTTTCAGCAAATGGACCCACAGTTCTTCCAGTCTAACTTAGAAAAGCAAAATAATAAAGGAACAAAAACTAAACAACTATTAACCTACAAATAAATTCATGTTTATAACTCAACCCCAAAAATTTAAAGTGTACAAAAATTACATTTAAATATTATTCAAAGTAATAAAAAAATAATATATTGAAATAATACAGTTTACTATTAAATACTAACAATAATCCCTACAACGTTTAATTTTGTAATAAATAAAATATATATTTTTTATCAGTTCATTTGAGAATTCTCCAAATGTCAGCTGGATTTGTCAACTGATGTGTATCTCTGTCTACGCTGTTGAATTTTCAATGTTATTTTGTTGATTTCTGTCTAAAACTGTGAACAATTTCTCCTATTTACTTCAGTAAAGTTAACAATTTCTCTCTTCTCTGTTTCCTTGTCCAGATTCTCTGAAGTGTAACATTTATAACCAGGAGAGGAGATCCACTCTGGACCAGGAGGAGTTAGAACCTCTGCAGGTGAAACAAGAACAGGAAGAGCCAGAAGATCATCAGATAAAAGAAGAACAGAAGGATCTAGAACACCTGCAGATAAAAGTGGAAGAGAAAGAAGTTTACTGCAGTCAGGGTGAAGAGCTGATTGAATTAAAACAGGAGACTGATACCTGCATGGTGGTTCCTGTTGATGAGCAAACATACCAAACTGAATCAGAACCAAACAGAAACCAAGACATGTTAGAAAAGCCTGATGAAACTGAGAACCAACATCAGGACAGAAGAAAACCTTTATCAGGTGTCATCTGTAAAAAACAATTGATTGTCAAATATGCTGTCAGTGATCATATCAGAATTCATGAGGGTGAAAAGCCGTTTTCATGTGTGAACTGTGGAAAAAGTTTTAGACATAAACAGAATTTAACTAAGCACATGAGGATTCACACTGGTGAAAAGCCGTTTTCATGTGGGAACTGTGGAAAAAGTTTCGGTCGAAAAGAGTATTTAACTCAGCACATGAGGATTCACTCTTGTGAAAAGCCGTTTCATGTGGGAACTGTGGAAAAAGTTTTAGACATAAATATAGTTTAACTCAGCACATGAGGATTCACACTGGTGAAAAGCCGTTTTCATGTGTGAACTGTGGAAAAAGTTTTAGTGAAAAAACGGCATTAACTCAGCACATGAGGATTCACACTGGTGAAAAGCCGTTTTCATGTGGGAACTGTGGAAAAAGTTTCGGTCGAAAAGAGTATTTAACTCAGCACATCAGGATTCACTCTGGTGAAAAGCCGTTTTTATGTGTGAACTGTGGAAAAAGTTTTAGTGAAAAACAGAATTTAACTAAGCACATGAGGATTCACACTGGTGAAAAGCCGTTTTCATGTGTGAACTGTGGAAAAAGATTTAGACATAAATATAGTTTAACTCTGCACATGAGGATTCACACTGGTGAAAAGCCGTTTTCATGTGTGAACTGTGGAAAAAGTTTTAGTGAAAAACAGAATTTAACTAAGCACATGAGGATTCACACTGGTGAAAAGCCGTTTTCATGTGTGAACTGTGGAAAAAGTTTTAGTCAAAAACAGGATTTAACTCAGCACATGATGATTCACTCTGGTGAAAAGCCGTTTTCATGTGTGAACTGTGGAAAAAGTTTTAGTCTAAAACAGAAATTAACTCGGCACATGATGATTCACTCTGGTGAAAAGCCGTTTTCATGTGTGAACTGTGGAAAAAGTTTTAGTCTAAAACAGAAATTAACTCGGCACATGATGATTCACTCTGGTGAAAAGCCGTTTTCATGTGTGAACTGTGGAAAAAGTTTTAGTCAAAAACAGAATTTAAGTCGGCACATGAGGATTCACACTGGTGAAAAGCCATTTTCATGTGTGAACTGTGGAAAAAGTTTTAGACATGAACAGCATTTAACTCAGCACATGAGGATTCACACTGGTGAAAAGCCGTTTTCATGTGTGAACTGTGGAAAAAGTTTTAGTCAAAAACAGGATTTAACTCGGCACATGATGATTCACACTGGTGAAAAGCCATTTTCATGTGGGAACTGTGGAAAAAGTTTTAGACATAAACTGGATTTAACTCGGCACATGAGGATTCACACTGGTGAAAAGCCGTTTTCATGTGTGAACTGTGGAAAAAGTTTTAGTCGTAAACAGCATTTAACTAAGCACATGATGATTCACACTGGTGAAAAGCCATTTTCATGTGTGAACTGTGGAAAAAGTTTTAGTGAAAAATGGGCATTAACTCAGCACATGATGATTCACTCTGGTGAAAAGATATTTTCATGTGGGAACTGTGGAAAAAGTTTTAGTGAAAAACGGGCATTAACTCAGCACATGAGGATTCACACTGGTGAAAAGCTGTAAAATTATTTTCTGTACATGTCCTATGTTGAGGTTCACTATAGATTTGATTTTGTTAAAAACTAGAATGAAAGACTGGAGGGGTTTCATGTCTATAAAGCTGAAAATTTTAGTATTTAAATGTGATCATATGGACGTTGTGCAACCATCCAACAATAATGATAAACTGTATGTTATTGTACTTATATACTGTTTATATCAGACTGTATTTGTGTTTGTACAACGTGAAGAGCAAAAGCTCAGCTCAGAGCCCTGAGGAGAGCCAGTACTGATGCTGATAGATGAAGAGACATTGTGGTCCATTGTGACTAATTTCATGCATTAACAGAGTTTGACTGGACATGGACTCCCTTCCAGAATATTCTCACAAGATTGGACTTGAGGGATTGATTTGTATTATTCTATTATGTATAGAGAAAGTGTGAGGGATGGATGTTGTTTATCTCAATACACTTATAATCAAAAATACAATGTGCTGTCATGCACTGACTTTACATTTTCTTTGATGATTAGATAAAAAATCCATTTAAAAACTTTATGAAATCACTCATTGATAGTTCTTGATTTTTTTAAAGTTTGGTTGATTATTGTTGTCTTCAGTAATTCTGTGTGTCTTTTGTCTTAGTTGTATCTCTATTTTTTCTGCTCTCTTATATTACGAGGAAAACATTTCACGTTCTGCAACGAGAACTGGCACTGAGAAAAATCTGTAGATGTGATGATCGTAGGATCCACAAGGTGGCAGTAATGCAATGACATGAATGCAGTTAGTCATAAAACCCCAAAGAAGAAGAAGACAGCAAAAGAGATGAAACGAGGTTATGGCTGTTCATAACAGAATTATTTAAATCTGAAGACAAAGGTATAGTTTGGAGAGGAAGCAAGAAGATTTGGAAAATTAGGTGGGATATAAATAAATGGAAGGCATTTATATACAATTGATGTAGTAATGGTTAGTGGAATAAACAAGGGAGGAGATAATTATGAATAGAATAAGAACCAGTCAGTTTTTTAAATTGAACTCTTTTTAAGATGGGGAAACATCTTACTGGTTTATGAAGTTGGTGTGATTCTATGGAACATGTTTTTATTAGGTATAGAAAATATGTAAATCAAAGATTTGAGAATTTGAGACATAGATATGAGGATCCAATAGGTGGCAGTAGTACAAGAGCAATGGATGCAAACTGCCGTTACAATGTATAGGAAGAAAAAAGTAGTAGTAATAGTAGAAGAAGAAGAAGAAGAAGAAGAAGAAAAAGTAGTAGAAGAAGAAGACAGTGAGGACGGCACGTGGTCTGTTTTGTTGAATGTTTGAGTGTTTCTCTAATAAATATCTCCAGTCCAGCTTAAACCAGTTAATCAGCGAGCAGTGAACTGCAGAAACATTGACAGAGTTTAAAGAAATCATCGTCCAGTCGGAGGAAGAGATGGGATCAGCGCAGACTGCTTGATTTCTCCCGGACTCCCCGAATAGGCACTATATGAGAAATTTGTAGTTGTGATGATCGTAGGATCCACATGGTGGCGGTAATGCGATGACATGAATGCAGTTAATCATAAAATCCCAAAGAAGAAGACAAAAAAAAAAACTGCAGCAGAAGAAAACAAAAGAGATGAAATGAGGTTATGGCTGTTCATAACAGAATACGTGAACAAAATAAAAATGTAATATAATTTTGGATTCCTGCTCATGTGGGTATTTTGGGTAACGAAAGAGCAGATAGGTTGGCTGAGGAGGCTGTTAAACAAGAAGTTGTTGATATGCCAGTAAAGTGATTTAAATATGAAGGCAAAAGTATAGTTTGGAGAGGAAGGAAGAAGATTTGGAAAATTAGGTGGGATAATGAAATAAGTGGAAGTCATTTATATACAATTGATGTAGTAATGGTTAGCGGAATAAACAGGAGGGAGGAGATAATTATGAATAGAATAAGAACCAGTCAGTTTTTTTAAATGGAACTCTTTTTAAGATGAGGAAACATCTTACTGGTTTATGAAGTTGGTGTGATTCTATGGAACATGTTTTTATTAGTTGTAGAAAATATGTAAATCAAAGATATTAGAATGAGACATAGATATGAGGATCCAATAGGTGGCAGTAGTGCAAGAGCAATGGATGCAAACTGCCGTTACAATGTAAAGGGGAAGAAGAAGAAAAAGTAGTAGAAGAAGATTTTGATTTGATTTTTACAAAACATTTATTTACAATAATAATAAAACAATTTTATTTTTTTGTTGTTTTACAATAATCCTATGTCATACATTACAAAAAAATACATTATAATAAAACATCAGTATAAATTAGTTCATTATTTTCTGAAATGATGCACAACACTGTCACATCCCATAACTCTAAAAACCCTGCACATTCCCAGTGGCCCTGTGGAAAGCAAACTCCAAACTCAGCCTCGCCTTGATGTTTACTTTCCACAGAGCCACAACATCAACTTGAGGTCCATCCTGCATCTTGTCTCTTCGAGTTATATATATATAGCTAATTTTGCCTCGGCTAATAAATAATTTAAAAGCCTTGACTTAAAACTAGTCGCTTTACTATGACGTACTCCGTTAATAAATAGTGCATCGGTAAAAATCATTTTAAAAAGACTAAAAACAGTCGATAAAAAAACTAAAAAAGACTATCAATCGTGTGCAATCTATAAAAACATGAAAAACTCTCTGACAACCTACAAAATGGACACTCATTTATAAAACCAGGACTAATCACCGATAAAAACGCGTTGGTGGCTATAGCACCATGGAGTATCCTCCACTGGAGGTCGCCAATCTTTTTTCTAATCGGCGGTTTGTACATTGTCCTCCAGTGGATTGGTTGTCCTTTCAGTCTTTCAACCCACACGCTGACGTCCCTCTTTCAAAGTGTTCTCTTGTTTAGGATTTTCACACAGTTTTTATATAAAGTCTTTGGTGCCACTTTGCACAAATCCATTTCTGAGTCCATGGTCTTTAGCAGAGGACCGCTGTCCTCTTCAAAGCTTGGACTCAGAAGAACCTTAGGAAAAGGATCTGTTTCTTTTGGCAGGCATGCTCCATCCTTGTATGCCTGCAATAAACTCTTCTCTTTTCCAGTCAATTTTCTCTTATTCTCATCAGGACACGTTCCATCATTCTTGTAGACCTTACTTTCAGTGCGGCAGCGACCTCCTGGGCATCGCCAAAGTCTGCTCCTGATGCTCGGATCAGCCTCTTTAAGGTCATCATTCCGGCTCTAGACAGCGTCTCTGTTAGCCCCAGGAACGTGTCCTCTCTAACATCCAGTCTTGCTCCGTACACCAAGGGTTCTTCTAATAGCCAATGCAGAGAATCAGTCATTTCCGCTCTACGCAATCTAAAAAGAGCACATGATTTAAAAACGCTCTGATAAAATTGCGGAGTTCCTTTAAACCTTAAAAGACTAAAATTTGTTAAAAACAGAGCAGCATCCAATCCCAAGGAATTCATGCGTCTTAGAATGCAACTGGCTACATCCTTCCACACAGGAGATCCTATCAGGTACTTTTGTAAAAACTGTATCCTAAACACAGTGACTCTACTGGCCAGGTGGACAAGGCCCTGGCCCCCCTCTTCTCTGGATAAAAACAACACCGACTGTGGCACCCAGTGACGATTGTTCCAGAAAAAATTAATCATTTCCTTCTGTATTCTTGCCAGCAGCCCTGACGGTGGATCTAGTACAATGAGCTTGTGCCAGAGTTGTGATGCGACCAGATTATTAAGCACTAACACTCTTCCTCTGTACGACATTTTTTCATGCAACCATTTCCATTTTGCAAGTTTGTTTGATATTTTTTGTTCTAGGTTTTGCCAGATTTTTTCAACAAAACTTTTCTCGCCTAAATATTTTAGGCCATCTTTTCTCCAGGTCATGCCTTTGGGGAGAGCCGGGAGTCCGTCGGGCCACTCGCCAACAGCCAGGGCTTCACTTTTTCCCCAATTTACTTTGGCGGCAGACAGCATGGAGAACTTTCTTATGATTTCTGTTAAAACGCTGACGTCTTTTTGATCTTTAATAAAAACCACGAGATCGTCAGCATAGGCAGATAAAACCAATTTGTCTTTAAAACCGGGTAAAACCAAGCCGTGAATGTCTGATCGCATCTTCTTTAAAAGGGGTTCCAGGGAGAGTGCATAGAGCATTCCCGAGAGCGCGCAGCCCTGTCGAACGCCTCTCTAAAAGGAGCACACAGGCTGCCATTGATCTTCAGCACACTCTCAATGTCACCGTACAACACCTGGATCTTGGCAATAAGACCCTCGCTGAACCCAAACCTCCTCATTACTTTCCAGAGGAAGTCGTGTTCAACGTGGTCAAAAGCCTTTTCTTGATCTAATGAAATCAAGCCTGTCTGTACACCCAAAATATCCCGAATTAGGTAGACATAGTCCACCATGGACCTGCCGGGGACGCAGTAGGTCTGGTCCCGGTGGATGACCTGCTCCATGGCTTTTCCTATTCTCGTGGCCAGGGCCTTCGAGAGGATTTTATAGTCCGTACAGAGGAGGGACACAGGGCGCCAGTTTTTAATCTCCTGCAGGTTGTCCTTTTTCAGCAGCAGGGTGATGACCGCCCTGCGACAGGATAGGGGGAGCGAACCGGTAGCTAGACTCTCGTTGTACATTTCGAGCATGTCCTGGGCCAGAAGGTCCCAGTAGGCCTTGAAAAACTCCACTGTTAGCCCATCAACGCCTGGGGACCTCTGGCCCTGCATGCTCTGGAGGGCTGTGTGGAGCTCTTGTATGGACCGGTTTTTTCTAAAACCGGTCCAAAAATAAGTTAAAACCTCCTTAAAACTCTGATCGTAAGTCAAAGCAGAATTAAAATGCCAGTATGCGCTTCTAGGTAAAATGTTTCTGATAAAAACACTACCTAAAAGCAGCGAATGATCCGTAAAAGCCACAGGTAAGATCTGGCATGTTTTAAACACATTAAAATGGTGTTTAAAACAATAAAAAACGATCTAAACGAGCTAAAGAGATTTTACTATCAACAATGTGGGACCAGGTAAACTGCCTGGAGCCTGTGTGCATCCTCCTCCATACGTCCACCAGGCCATGAGACGAGACCAGCTGCTTCAAGACGCGTTGGGCCATCGGATGCAGCTCTGTGTGATTTCGATCTAAAAACTCATTCTCAGTACAATTAAAATCCCCACCTATAA